GCAGTGTGGACCACAGAGGAGATTGCATCCTCTGTTGATCGGTTCTCACGGTATGCGTACTGATGAGGGTCCTCGTTGATGTTGATGGTTGTTTTGATGTGAGTCATGACCAGTTTTTCGAAGCATTTAGCGACTATCGGGGTGAGGGCCACTGGCCGATAGTCATTCAGACCAGTCACTGTAGAGCTTTTTGGGACTGGGATGATGGTGGCAGTCTTCAGGCAGGTGGGAACTGTCTCCAGGGTAAGTGAGGTGTTAAAGATGTCTGCCAGCACCTCGCAGAGCTGATCAGCACATTCCTTCAACAATTTTCAGGGGATGTTGTCTGGACCAGTTGCTTTGTGCAAATTAATTCTACTGAAAGTACTCCTTACTTCGGCTGAGGTCACGCTGAGATGCTCTTCATCCGGTGGTGAGGCGAGTCTGGTGCTGGGTGGTCTGTTCGGGTCTTCAAAGCGTGCATAGAACTTGTTGAGGGCATCAGGCAGAGATGGGTCTTGGGGCATTGTTCACTCCTTCCTTTATAATCTGTTATGCACTTAATGCCCCTCCACATGCTCCGAGGGTCTTGTGAGATGAATTGACCCTCGATCCTCTGTGCATATGTGGCCTTGGCCCTCTTAATACCAGCAACCAGCTCTTTTCTTGTCCTACTCAGCTCCTCTGAGTTTCCAGACCTGAAGCTGTGTTACTGGCTTCCAGCAGGGTATGCACCTCTGCATTCATCCAAAGTTTTCTGTTTGGGTATCTTTTAACATTTCTGATAGTGGAGACGGTTTCAGTACATGTACTAATGTAACCCAGAACTGAGGATGTGTATTGGTCAAGATCAAGCGAACCTCCATTTTCAGCAGCTTCTCTGAAAACCTGCCAGTCTGTTCGATCAAAACAATCTCTCAGTATGGGGCCACTGTCTTGGATCCAGCATTTAACTTTCTTTTGTACCGGTCTGGAGCGTCTCAGCGGGGTCATGTAAGCAGGAGCCAGGAAGATTGAGATGTGGTCTGACAGTCCTAGGTGGGGGCGGGGTTCGGCTTTGTATGCATCTTTTACGTTCGTGTAAACACGGTCCAGCATGTGGTCTCCACGTGTTGGAATCGCCACATGTTGACAAAAGCTTGGGAGACAGTCCTTTAGATTCACGTGGTTAAAGTCTCCGGCTACAACGTAAAGAGCCTCGGGGTGTTTGCTCTGCAGTGAGCTGATGATATCATGAAGCTCCTGCAGTGATTCATTAGCATTGGCGTCCGGAGGAATGTAGACGACAGAGATAAAAGTCACCGTGAACTCGCGGTGTAGATAATGTGGCCGGCATTTCACTGTTATTTGCTCCAAAGCCTTCGAGCAAGAGCTATTTACAACAGTACAGTTCGTGCACCAACTTTTACTCACATAAATGCACACTCCGCCTCCCCGTGATTTCCCTGTTAGTTCGCTGTAGCGGTCCGCTCGAAAAAAAAGTCTGTCATCCAACTGGAAGACTGTATCCGGCGTTTCGCTTGTAATCCACGTTTCTGTGAGGCAAAGCACTGCACACTTCTTCATCTCTTCTGAGGCGCCCGCTCTCAGACGAAGTAAATCCATCTTGTTGTCCAACGAGCGGACATTCGACAGAAAGAGACACGGCATGGGGAGTTTACCGGCTTTAGCGTTAGCTCGTAGCCTCACCATAACCCCCGCCCGGCGTCCTCTCCTCTTAAGCCGGGAGCAGCGCTTCCTCTTCTGCCCGCTGGAACGCCTCTGTTGCAGCTTCCAGGTAGATGACTTTAAGATCTGCATTCTGCCGAGCGTAGTTTTGAGTTTGTTGCTGATTTCTGCTATATTTCGTGGCAAATCCGCTCCTATTCTCATCAGTTCGGTTCGGCTATAGTTCACACGCATAAATCGCGCGGAGTCAGGCACAGAGGCAATATCAAAACTTTTAAAACTGGGATGGTACCGGGAGCCTGTGAAGCTGCAACTGCTCTGAGCGCGGCCATCTTGGCATAACTCAGGGGATTGATTACACTTTGATTTAGCTCAGTAATAGAACCAGCAAAGGAGGTTTTGGATGTTGAATCAACCGCGGTACAAGATACTCACAGCAGGCGAAGTGACTTGAGCCCATCAAAGGCATGAACCGGGATGCAGCGAATCTGGTTATAGCTCAGGATGCTAGAAGAAAAAAAAACAATATAAACACAAATAAACACAAAAGTGATGGAGGACATAAAAAAGGTCAACTAGATTCAGTGTTCAATCAGTATGTTTTGCAGGGATATTGAAAATATTGGAAAATAAAAAATGGGCATATTCAAAGTGAGGAAGGAAAATAAATAAAATTATTAAATGAAGAGTTGGAAGAAAAGCTGAGGTTTTAAATATTCAAAGTCAGAACACACAGTAGCTTTTTTTCTTCTTCTTTCAGCTGCTTCCTTCTTCAAGGGTCGTCACAGCGAACTAACTCACATAAATACTTGGCGGTTGTTTTTACGCTGGATGTCCTTCCTGACGCAACCACAGAACACAAAGCTACCACAGCCCTCTGTGTGGAGCAGAGAGCTGCCATCTACGGCACCTGGGGGAGCAGACTGTAGGGGTTGATGGTCTTGCTCAAGGTCTCAGAGTGGGGCAAATGAGGGTGGATGCAGATGTGAGTGTTTCACCTTTCCCACCCACATTTTAATGTTGTCAGTGGGGGGGGGGGGGTGTCATTTTTCATTTCACCTATATTCAAACTAAAATCAAACCAGCAACCTTCTGACCACAGGCTCACCTTCTCTAACCTCTGTGCCACTATTCCCCCTCAGACTTGGATGAGACTTGGATGGCTGCAAACTTCTTGAGTTTTAATGATCAGAAGACTGAGGTCATTGTGTTTAACCCAAGTTCTACCACTGTCACTGATCCTGTAAACCTGCACTCCCTTCAGCCTCATCTAAAGCAGTCGGTTACCAATCTCGGGGTAGTGTTAGACTCAGACTTTAAGTTTAATAAACAGATCAACTCTGTTCTACAAAAAAGCTTCTTTCAGCTAAGGCAGATAGCAAAGCTTAAGTCCGTCCTGTCCAGATCTGACCTTGAAAAACTAGTCCACGCATTTATTACTTCCCGGCTGGACTACTGTAACTCACTTTATGTTGGGGTCAGTCAGGCTTCACTTTCACGTCTCCAGCTCGTACAAAATGCTGCAGCTCAGCTACTAACAGGAACTCACAGGTTTGAGCACATTACTCCGGTTCTGTCCTCCCTTCACTGGCTTCCTGTACGTGTCAGAGTTGATTTTAAAATTCTCCTGCTGACATTCAAGTGCATTAACGGCCTCACACCCTCCTACCTCTCTGACCTTCTTCATCCTTATGATCCTTCTCGGGCTTTGAGATCATCAGACCAGCTGTTTTTGGCCGTACCAAAAACCAGCTGAAGCTCAGAGGAGATCGAGCATTTTCAGTCGTGGGCCCTAAACTCTGGAACAATCTGCCCATTAACATTCGACAGGCCACCTCAGTCTCTGATTTTAAATCTCTCCTAAAAACACATCTGTACTCACTGACACATCTGTACTCACTGACATTTAACACAGGGTGATCAGCTTTAGATCTAGTTTTTCATTGATGCTGATTCTGTTTATGCTTTTGTTATTATTCCTATTTAACACAAGGTCATCAGATCTGATTTAGTATTTCATTGTTTCTAATTATGTTTTCGGTTTTATATTTTTATTCCATGTGCTGTAAATATATCTTGCTACTTTTTATTTGATGATGTGATATTTTTGTTAAGAACTTTGGTAACAGTTTGTTTTAAATGTGCTCTATAAATAAATCTGACTTGACTTGACTCAGACCACACAGTTTATTAACAAGAAAAATAAGTTTAACAGTGAATAATCAGATGTGCTTGTGGAAAAGAGTAATGTATTTCAGGATGGGTTAGGGTTTTAAAAAAATCACTGTAATTCCCCTTTGATTAATGATATGTGCTGCTGATTGTCCATGCTGCTGATCTCATGCTGATTTATTGCATGCTGCTGTGTTCATTTGTACTCATCTGCTCACACAGACTCATGTTTGTGCTGCTGTTGTTCAGCATATTGTTTTGCACTATTATTTAGCATATTTCTTAGTGTATTTCTTGGTTTATATCTTAGATCCATAGTACTGTTTCTTTTACAATTTATATTTTTGCTTTTGTTGGATGTAACTGGGACCCTATGCACACGATTTTGTTCCACCTTATGTACCACATGTGTTGTGAAGGACAATAAAGAACCTTGACCTTGAACTTGAATATTCTTACACCTAACAACAAAGTTCATGCTCAATCATACAGGTATCAAATCCATTCTTACACCTAAAAATGACAGGGGCTAGGACAAGGGCGTCAGAAGCATCCGTAATGTGGGGGGGACACAACGATGTGTGTAGGTGTGTGCGCGTGCGCGTGAGTGTGCGCAAAAGAAATGTACACTAATGTACAAAAAAAGCAACATTTCACCTAAATTTGCTTTAATTCCACACATTTAAAGCATATTTCTCACCAAGTTTGTGTAAATTCAGCTGTGGATTTTAGAGACATTTTAACTTTAATGCACTTTAATACAGAGCGTCAGATCTGCACTATTTGTGTTTATAGAGAAATAAAAAACTTCACCACTAGACATTTTTACTTGTGTTCAACACTACTCATCTAAACTATGTTTCTCACGAAGATTGAGGACAATAAGGTGTGAGGGTTTTAAAGATATTTCAACTTTAATGCACCTGAACACACAGAGTCTCTTACACCTGCAGCGTCTGACAGCATCACAGTTACTGCTAAGAGAACATGCTACAGACGTAGCGCTTCACTCAAGCATCCTCCTAACATGATTATATGTTGATGATCAACCCCCTGGTCAACAACTGCCCGCACTAAGCTGCTAAACTGGCGAGCGAGCAACACAGAGGTGTCTCCATCTCCTGCACCTGTGCGCGTTTTCTTCCGAAGCAGGAGACTCAGCAGCGGCTGCCTGCACAGTTTCTGCTCTGTGTGTAGAGGTGGAGGTAACCTGGAAAACCTGGAGTGGAGTTTTATTAGATTGAGTATTCTCCTATTAATCAAGTGGAATGGATTCGTTCACGAAGAAAGAGAAACTGCACCGCCTGAACTAATGTTTCATAGTAAAAGTGGGGGGGTCCAAATGAACGTTTTTTTAATGTGGTGGTGGTGGTGGGGGGGGACTTGTCCCTTTCACATATAATGGTTGCGACGCCTATGGGCTAGGATCATTTTTAATTTTCAGATTCAAGTGGCATGAAAAAAAAATCAACATAGCAACCAAAAAAAATTGCTGTGTAAAGTAAAGCACATTTTTCTCTTCAACAGTCTTCAGTTTATAAAGTGTGATTTTAGGCAAGGCACAAAAAAATGGGATGCTGTCAGTGGACTGGCAATAATCTGAGGTGCATCACTCAGCACCTCTGGTTTGCTGGTGCAACCACATGAAATATAAAACAGGCTGTTACTAGAAAACAACTAAGAGCCTCAGCTCATTTCACTGAAACATGCAAAGTCCCACGATTTGATTCTGGTAAACGCCAATTCAGCCTAAAGCTCAAAGATAAACAAATAATCATAAAACAGATCACATAAAAAATAAAAGCTATTTAGGGCTGAATACCAGTAAGGTCAATGCGAAAGAGGGAAAATGGGACAAGAGAGGTGGTAAATCATTGGATTAGAGCTGGTGACGTCGTATTTTTTTGGTGAGACATATTGTGTCACTTCCTGTTTGTCTGTCGGTAGCTCGAGTGAATTGTTTGCTCGAGTCGACGTTTGTTTTCCGGATTTATCGTCTTTTGCACAATTTTTCATTCTAGTTCACAAACACACTTAATACAGTTGTTTTTCTAATGTTGGATAGTGCTTAAAACACCTTTTATCTTTCAACACTTCTCAGTTTTTATTGGTGTATTGGGATCTGTTAGCTATTGTTAGCGCTAGCAAAGCATGGCTGCTGCTTCTCTCCCGGTTTTCTCTGTTTTCACTTACTTCGTGTCAGATGTTTAGTTATTCTTCTGCCTCCTTTAGCGGTAATGATACATGTAACAAATGTAGTCTTATGGTAGCTTTGGAGGAGAGGCTGTCTGAACTGGAAGCTCGACTCCGCGCTGTAGAAAAACCAGTAGCTAGCCAAGTTCCCTTAGACAGCCAGAACCATAGAGTCTAGCTCCTTAGTGGTCCTCCAGCAGACCCCGAGCAGCTGGGACCCCAGGCCGGCTGGGTGACAGTCCGGAGCAAGCGTAGTGATAAGGCTAAGCCCCCAATTCACCACCGACCCGTTCACATTGCTAATCAATTTTCCTCCGCTCAGTCACACATCCGCTGAGAAGCAGACCCTGGTTATTGGAAGCTCCATAGTCCGAAACAATGCATTCTGGGGGCCAGAGCATGCAACACTGAATCTTATCTGAAACTGTTGACTAAGGCTAAGGCTAAATACAGTAAGATTGTTATTCATGTCGGCGGTAATGACACCCGGTTACGCCAATCGGAGGTCACTAAAATTAATGTTGCTTCGGTGTGTGACTTTGCTAAAACCATGTCGGACTTTGTAGTTTTCTCCGGCCCCCTCCCTAACCTGACCAGCGATGACATGTTTAGTCGTATGTCATCGTTCAACCGCTGGGTGTACAGGTGGTGTTCTGACAATGACGTGGGCTACATAGATAACTGGAGTTCTTTTTGGGGAAAACCTGGGCTGATGTGGAGAGATGGCATCCATCCCACTTTGGATGGAGCCGCTCTTCTTTCTAGAAATATGGCTGATTTTGTTTATCCCCCAAATTATTGACAACCCAAGGTCCAGTCCAGGAAGCAGAGTTGTAGTCCTCCACACCCCTCTGCTGCTTCTCCTCTGTTACCCCCCCCCCACACCCCCATTGAAACAGTGTCAACTCGCCCATGGCTCAAATAAACCAAAAATCAGCTGTAGAAATATAAACCATAAAAATCTGATTAAAATAAACACAGTTACTTTACCAGAGCAAAATCATAAAACCATTAAATCTGGATTATTGAACATCAGATCTGTTTCCTCTAAATCCCTGTTAGTTAATGAACTGATAACTGATCATCATATTGATTTATTCTGTCTGACAGAAACTTGTCTACAACAGGAGGATTTTGTTGGTATAAATGAATCCATCCATCCATCTATCCATTATCTTTTACCCGCTTCTTCCATTTTGGGTCGTGGGGGTTGCTGGTGTCCATGTCCAGCAATCACTGTGCAAGGAGAGGGGGACACCCTGGACAGGTCGCAAGTCCATCACAGGGACACATAGAGACAAACAACCATTCACTCTCTCACTCACACCTAGGGACAATTTAGAGTTACCAATCAGCCTAACGTGCATGTTTTTGGTCTGTGGGAGGAAATCAGAGTACCCGGGGAAAACCCACGCATGCACGGAGAGATTCATTCAACCTTTATTTATACAGATAAGTCCCATTGAGCCTCGAGAACTCATTTACAAGAGAGACCTGATTTCAACAAAGAATGATGACAACAAAGAATGATGACAACAAAGAACATGCAAAGTCCACCCAGAAAGGCCCCCGGACCGGGATTTGAACCAAGGACCTGCTCGCTGAGAGGCAGCAGCTCTACCAGTTGCGCCACCGTGCTGCTATAAATGAATCCACTCCTGTTAATTATTTAAATTTTCATGTTCCTAGAACAACTGGCCGAGGTGGAGGAGTAGCTTCTATTTTTCAGTCAGGATTATTGATTAATGCCAAACCAGTTATTAGTTATGATTCTTTTGAATCACTGTCCCTCAGTCTTTCTCATCCAAAATGGAAATCAGAAAAGCCACTTTTACTAGTTGTTATATATCGTCCACCAGGCGCTTACTCTCAGTTTTTGTCTGAATTCTCAGAATTCTGAACTGACTTATTATTAAATACTGATAAAATCATCAGAATGGGTGATTTCAATATTCATGTGGATGTTGAAAGTGATAGTTTAAGCATAGCCTTTAATAATTTAATAGAATCTTTTGGTTTTACCCAAAACGTCCGCACATCTACTCATTCTTATCATCACACTCTTGATTTAGTTCTGACCTATGGTATAGAGATTAAGGACTTGGTAATAGTTCCTCAAAATCCTATTCTGTCCGACCATTTTTTAATAACCTTTGAGTTTACATTAAATGACTACACAGTCACTGAGAGTAAATTTCATCTTAGCAGGTGCTTATCAGAAAATGGTGTAACCAAATTGAAACAATCTCTTTCATTGTTTTCCTCTGACTACCATTCTGTGTTCGTTTGTCTCTCCTTCTTGTCCTCTCAAACCAGTCGGTCAAAGCAGATGGCCGCTTGTCCTGAGCCTGGTTCTGTTGGAGGTTTCTTCCTTTAAAAGGGAGTGTTTCCTTTCCACTGTTGCCACTGTGCTTGCTCAGGATGGAAGACTGCAACAAAGCCAAAATTCAACTTGTCTGCTGGCCTCATTAGATAGAGAACTTTACTACTTGGCTTTTCTATGTATGTGAATGTTTCTGTAAAGTGCCCTGAGACAACTTTGTTGTTATTTGGTGCTGTAGAAATAAACTGAATTGAATTGAATAAAGAAAATGTGGGTTATTCTGACAAGTAGCACAGAAAAAAAGACAAAAAGCAATAAAAGAAGGGATTAGGAAAATAGAAAAGCAATACGGCAGGTACGTGAGAAACATTGCAGGAACAAAGGAGTCAGGAAGAGGAAAGTAGAGTCGGGAAGAGAATGAATGAACTTACAGTGTTGCTAGTTGAGTCATGTTGCTGAAGGTATATGGAGCTAACGTGTTGATGCTATTGTTGCTCAGGTCTCTGTGAAAATACAAACAGAAAGTTAACGTTCAGAAGACAAAACAAAGAGAACTTTATGAATTTAATGTAGCAATGTTATGTTATAAATTAAAGGAGGATTCCTGCGAATGTTATTCAAGGTTAAGTTACATACACAAGTGACAGCTGCTTAAGGGCTGCCAGCTCTTTGGGCACAGATGTCAGCATATTACCCTCCAGGTATCTGCAAGAAACACGTGCACGGCTAATTTAGCGTATGGCACATATACACAAATATAGCCATCAGAAGAGAATACCTCTGAATGTTACAAATAATGGCATCTCCTGTGGTGTCCCTCAAGGGTCAGTTTTAGGGCCCCTGCTATTTTCCCTTTACATGTTGCCTTTAGGTCAAATTATTAATCAGTACAACATTTCTTTTCACTGTTATGCCGACGATACACAGCTTTACATCAGGACCGGAGCATCATCTTCACCACTGTCATCTCCATCTTCACTCGCTGCCCTCTCTACCTGCCTGGAGGAGATAAGGGCATGGATGAATCAGAACTTTCTTCAGTTAAACTGCTCCAAAACAGAGGCCATACTGATTGGCACCCCTCACCAGGTTCAAACTTCAACTATAACGACTATTTCATTTTCCGGACAAGACATCCCCCTCTCCACCACCTCTGTTACAAATCTTGGAATAAAAATGGACACTCATCTTACATTTGAAAATCACATTAAGCATCTGTTTAAAACCTGTTTCTTCCATCTTAGAAATATCTCCAAACTGCGCCCATCTCTCACTTTTGCTGATGCAGAGAAACTCGTCCATGCTTTTGTCTCCTCCAGGCTCGACTACTGCAACTCCCTGTTTACTGGGATCCCCGGCAAAAACCTTCAGAAGCTTCAATATATTCAAAACAGTGCAGCCAGGATTTTATTGAGAGCTCGTAAATTTGAACATATTACACCCATTCTCCATAACCTCCATTGGCTTCCTGTCACCTACAGAATTCAGTACAAAATTGCTCTCATTACCCATCAGTGTTTATATGGAAATTCACCAGATTATCTGAAGGACCTTCTTGCTCCATATTCATCCACCCGGTCCCTACGATCACAGAACAGTCATCTCCTCCACCTGCCACAAACTAAATTAAGAACCATGGGAGATCGGGCATTCTGTGTGGCTGCCCCCCACCTCTGGAACTCCCTCCCTGAATATCTGAGAGCTCCACAATCATTGACTGACTTTAAAAAAGGCTTAAAGACTTTTCTTTTTAAGCAAGCCTATTCTGCCTCCACATGATTGTATCATTGATTTTAGTTGTTTGTATCATTGATTTTAGTTGATTTTATCACAGATTTTAGTTGATTTTATCACAGATTTTAGTTGATTTTATCACAGAT